GGGGGGGGGGGGGGGGGGGGGGGGTCTGAATTGAGCGATCAGTTATTAGACCCGGACGTCCCAACACTTGCTTCGCAAGACAAACTCAAGGTATCCCCTAAAGGGCTACCTTTCGTGATCAGGAGCCATTGTCTTGCATTCTCCATCCGCTTGACCGGTATCAAGTGGTCCTTCCTCCTGGCGTCTTTCCGTTGCACTCTCCTCTCTTCCTCGACTCTTCCTCCACTCCTTTGTTGACATCGCAACCATGCCACTCTCCCTGCTGCTTTTCTCAACTCGGTCGCCCCCACCATGCCCTTCTTGTCCCCAGCTTCAAGTTGATTCTGGAGCTCGGCCATGAAGCGTTCGGGCAAGGTCACCAGTAGGTGGTCATAGTCCGGCGCAACCAGTTTGAACTTCACACCAACCCAGGTGACTCTCGTCGCTTGGTCAAGGAGAGCTTAATAATCCCGGCGTGGCCATTGATGTCAGAACGCATGCCAATGTCCGGTTTCGGGCTTCTAACCGACCGCACAAAATCCACAAGGAATGTTCCAGCTAAACCTGGCGCATGTCTTGCTAAAACCACTGCCTGGACCATGGCTGCCACCTGCTCCCGGTCGGGGGCGTCGTCTTGTATCCGAACAACAGATGGTCAGAGTCCAAGGCCGGCGCTAAGCAGTGTCCCCTTTCTCCTCCTCTGCGACGGCCAAGTACATGTAGGCATCTGATTTGTCGATCATCACCAACTCCAATGGCTTTGTCCTGAGGTTGGCCCTCGGCTGCATGGCGGCGTGCATCCTCCTCATCATGGCAATCGCATCCATGAGCAATACCGGCCTCTCTGGCAACACTGCTTTGCCTTTGCCTCCGGAACGACGAAGATCTAAATGATCACCCGTCTTTTCTTGGAACTGTCCTCCCTCGTCTTCACGATGAGGCTCAGCTTGGATATCGTGGTCAGTGGTCCCCTCGAACAGGGCTGACTCCATCTCTTCCTTCTTGACATAGCCCAGTTTCGTAAGTCGATCCAGCTCTTCTGTCCTCTCGAAGTCTTTGGGCTGCTTGAATGTCCCTTGATCTTGAAGCCCCTCCTCCCTGATCGATGGTGGGAAGATGCTGCAAGACTTGATTGGACAGTCGATGCCAAGTTCACATTCTGGACTTCTCCGTGAGCTTCACCTTCGCTGTCCCCTTGGCTCAACTTCCTCAACTCCTCCTTCTATCTATCCACCCATGGTGGATCTATGGGCGCATTCAGCTGTCCCATACGTTTCTCCCACCTTCACTGCTTGGGGGTACTTTAAACTGAATCTCTCCTCAGTTGGGCTCTTCATCCCTCATCTGTTGTTTCAATTGATGTTCCTTCTTCTTATCCTCCTTCAGCATTCAGCAGGCTGCACTTCCCCTCGCCAGGCTTCCCCAGCTTCTTCTCCAAGGCTAACAGCTGTTCTATCGTGGGTTTCTCTTCCTCTTCCAGTAGCGACCCCGTTGTCGCGATGAACTTCTGCAGCAAGGCCACTTTGAGTTTGTCGTCTTCGTTCAACACCTCGAACTCTCCATCGTCTCCTTGGTCGAAGATTTGAGTGAACTTGCAAGTCCTTTCCTTCGTGTCCTTCCCAGCCTCAGCGGATGAAATGCTGCCCCTTGCCGTTGCCCTGCCTCGCGAGGCAGTCGTGGTCGTTGACCTCCATGGGTCCTCCTCTGTCCAATCGTCCCATTGGCCACCACCTTTCACGAACATCACCCTCCTCGCCAGCTTCCAGACCAACCTGGGCCGCCTGTGGCTGAAAGCGGAACATCGTCGGGTAGTAGGGCTTGGCGGAGTGAAGCAGCCACCACCTCGCCCGGAAGGGCTGCAACCAGCCGTTGCCGGCCTCCTGAACAAAGGCCCGCCAAAGCTCCGTCGACACCAACGCCATGTCCAGCGCCGCCGCACGAGTCGGGAACATCGCCCAGGCCGCCCGCGAGGAGGCACAACCACCCCAACCAAAACATCTTTCAATGGATGGGGTGGAGGCTTGAGCCAAAATGGCCAACTTCAAGCCTCCACCCCACCCAGGCACAACCGAATTGTCCTACAGAAGATTCCGGTGTCATGTTTTTTTTTCAAAAGCAACCAAAGCACCCAAGAGGTCTGCTTTTGCCACCTTGAGCTCTTCTTCTCTCGCCTGCAGGTTCAGCCAATCTCAGATGAAGTCGGCTTCTGAACGTTAAACAACTTGATCTCCACACGTGAGAAAATGACTCTAGCCCTGCTGGCCCTGCCTTTACCCTCTCTGCTTTGAGGCGCGTCAGATGGCGCTGGAGCCTCTGGCTTCCAAACAAAGAACATGGCAAAGGACGATAAATCTTGGACAATCTTTGTGCAAGATCAGTCTTACTAAAACAAAGGTGAAGCCAACGACTACACCTATGAGACCTTGTAAGAGTTTCTGGGCCACCTCATTTTGCGAGTTTACAAATGAGAGAGCACGCTACAATGTTATTTTTCGTAGTTTACAGCCAATAGCCCCTGCGTTGTGTGCTTTTGGGTGAACCCATCTGGCATACTTCAGCGCGCCGATTCAGAACTATAGCTATCAAGTTCTGAGGTTATGCATCATCTCCAAGGTTCTAGCTTTATGTTGGGCGATGACAGCCATACATGGCCAACCATCAAATAGTTTTTTGTGAAAAAACCGTGGAAAAAAAAAAGCGAAATAAAAGCAAATGAAAATGCAAAAACAAAGCAAAAAGCAAAAACAAAGCAAAACAAAAGCACATAACAAAGCAAAAACAAAGCGCAATAATAGGCAAAAAAAAAAGCAAAAAAACAAAAAGATATAGCTGTGCGTATTTGTCGCTTCTTTTTTACTTCTTTTCGCTTTATTTTCGCAGTTTTTCGCTTAATGTCGCATTTGTTTCGCTTTTTTTCCTAGGAGGGTACAGCAAAAACAAAAGCAAAAAAAAAACACTGTACCCTCCTAGGAAAAAAGCGAAAAAAAAATAAAGAAGCGAAACAAATGCGAAAAAAATGCGAACATAAAGCGAAAAAAAGTGAACAAAAAGCGACAAATACGCACAGCTACATTTTTTTGCTTGTTTGTGTGCTTTGCCTTTTGCTTTTTTTTGCTTTGTTTTTGCTTTATAAAACTATTTTGGCTCCTTGTATCTATGGCTGGCGTGCCCGACATAATTCTAGCTATTGTTCTTAAACTGCAAGTATCTGAGGAGCCGCTTCATTGGCGGAAAATCATTACACTTCTGATCAAAAGAGCAGCTCAACTCTAAACTCTAAAGTGATCTCTGACCCGCATGTTTGTCGAAAATGCCCGTTGGCCGACGAATACTTCGTTGTTTTTCGTGGTTGAACTCCAGCGTAGACAGCCTCCGAAGTTTGCTCTGCTCGCCAATTGGTGGAAGTGTCTGGATCACTGCCTTGCACGTTCCGAATCAAAGCGTTCCCATGTAGGAACAAGTGCATCGCTTCTAGTAACAAGTGCCTTACTAGTAGTAACAAGAAGCTACTAGGAACAAATGCAACAAATAATAACATTCATATACTCTTTTAATTTGGCTCTTTCGGCTCTCACGGCTTGGCGAGAAGACTTCCCACGGCACTAGGGCTCTCACGGCCTTCCCGCCCACTCCTTTGACGCAAGAAAAAACCGAGGCGAGCGGTGAAAGCACTCGAAGCATTTGAAATCTCTGAGTTCCTTCGCTTACCCTTGGAATGTCCCTTCCTCGCACCTGCCACGATCAAATTGTGAAGCAATACCTTTGACTTTAACCTGTTCGAACACAGCTTGTGTTTGCTTGGCTCCTGGCCGTTTTCAGATTCCTCTGGATCTGGCCTCAGTCGTTTTGCCGTTCGACATGGTGCACTTCTATTCTAGCCTTCACTAGAAAGGAAAGTACATCTTGGTCATTGACATTGCTGAAGCCAAGGGTGTTGTCTTCCGCAGTGTCAGGAAGGTATGAAAGAGATTGAAAACTTGGCAAAACTGGATTGTGCTTGCTTTGGCTGCCTGTGCTTCTTGCCGAGAGATTGATTGATGGCTATGGTCAGAATGTGTGATGTCTTGTGTGCCACACACACACACAAGAGCAAACTTCGGAGCCAGCTCTGCAGTTGGTCTGGACATTGAAAAATCACAGTTGTCCAGAGGCAAAACCAGTCAAGCATCATCTGCCCCACTCACCCCAAAATACGAGTCCGACGCCAGTAAAAAGGTACTTGTCACGATGTTCAATCAGTGCGTCTGCTTCACCAGCAACCCGCCGATGCTTCGCTTGCTTGTGAAGTAGGCAAAGGCCAAGTTGTCAAGTGCTTCTTAGCTAAGCAAACCCTCTGAGTTGCTCTCAGGTGAAAGTCTTCAGAAAACGTCGTGAATGCAGTCTGGCGGGCGGAATACAACTTGCAACCCAAAGCTTACGTCCACAATTTCGCAACTGTGTATATATTAAGGTTCTGAATGCCTGGAGAAGACTCTCATCGCATTCTTGGGAGAAGACTCTTCACCTGAGCTTTTGAAGGTGCACCAAGAAATTGCAGCAAATGCGAGGTACAGTATGGCACCTACAGCCAAGGGACATGCCGAAGACCTGCTTTCTGCAGCAAGACAAGGGTTGCTAATGCAGCAACAGTGTGCATCCCAACCTGCAACAGCGTGCAAGAACACTAACAAGAACACTAAAAAGAAAGGGGAGTAGGCTGTGAGCAGGTACAGTAGGTAAATCTATTTAGTAAGCGAGAGGAAGCCACTAGATGCAAGGAAGCGCGGCGAAAAGGTTCCTAGATCTTTCCAGAGTCGGCTTCGCGCCTGGAAGGCATTCAGCTTCAACGCTAGCAAAGGGGCATCATCCGTGGCAGGGCACAAAGCCAGAGCTCGAGACCAGGAAGCATCTTCCGCATCCATGAGGCAGGCCTGGCACTTGGAGTGTTCATTAACTCTCAATTGTCAAAAGCAATGCACCAGCGATCGACTATATAAGTGGTAAATCCTATGTAAATCCTATGGCGTGGGTCTACCTTCCTACCTTCGAGCACGCGGATGTAAACAAGACCCACAATGAAAGGAAAAAAACGTCTGCCTGCATAACATTCATGATAACATCAAGTCCTTCAAGTCTGGGCAACGAAAGAGCAGCTTGCCAGGGAAGCCTGGCAAAGAAGGAGGTCCATAGCTTCTAGCAGTTGCAAGCTGGATGCACGCTGAACTGCTGTGAACTGTGAACCAATGAATCTGATTTGTTTGCTGGCTCCACTTTTGGCTCTAATGCTGTTCCGGGTAAGCAAAGAAACAAGCACGAGTAGTAAAAAAGAAAGGAAGGCACAGGCCAGCCAGCAAGCAAGCACACAAGCAAGTGCGGCAAAGTATCAAGTGGGCAACAGAGGATCTTCATAGCCGGAAAAAGAGGCCTTGCATTTCAAGTAGATAATGCATGCTTTTGTCCAACTAGGCGCACTCCCAAGGCGGTGGCTCAAGAAAAAGTATGTAACAGAAACAGAAAGAAAGAAAGAAAGAAATAAAGAAAAAGGATTACTGCTCCAAACCTCTCTTTTAACTCCAGAAGAACAGGCTGGCCCCGCCCCTGCGGTGCGCCCAAGGCCAGCGCTTTTGGCCACTGGTTGGCCCGGCTGCACCCCGTTGCAACAGCCTGGAGAAACTTGAACTCCCTCTCCAAACTTGGCATTTAACTTGGTAATTAAATTACTTCATGAGGATTGAACCATCTCTTTTCTATTTTCTGTTTCTGGAGGGATTTTCAGGTTGTAGACTTCAGCATGTTTGATCTCCTAAAACCAGCAGTGCAACTTCTGATGTAATAGGACCTCAATGCCAGGGGCATCGGTCTCCAGTCTTCGTGCGGCTGCCCAGCTCAAACACCAAATGGCCCTGTACCAATGAGACTGGTCAAGGTGAGCCGCAAGTAGTCCTCCTGGGCAAGCAGCAAAAAAGATTGCTTGGCTTATTTTCATGGGAAAAAGAAGAATGAGGATGCCTTTTCTGGGCCCTGTGCCTGCCTGCTTTGAAAAAGTCTTGCAAGAATGTTTGGTGCACAGCTGCAAAGCCAAATTTCTGAAGTTCCACGCTGAGGTCTCCCCGGTAAGAAAATGGACCCACACGCCTAGAGTCACAGTGTCCGGAGGCTTTGGCAAAACTGCACGACGCCAAAGCCCTCCATGGCGCAGCGCAGACAGCAAAGACTCAGTGGCCAATGAATTCAAGGATTCATCAGGACACATCTCAGACCCTCTTAAAGACATCACTTCTGCCAAATTTGCGATGAGAGCCACCATGGAGACAAATGCCAGAAATCCAAAGGTTGAATTTAAAACTTAAAATATATAGAGGTTCACACAACTGCTCAATGCACGGTTGGGAAGCGGGTGATGTTCCAGCTCGGTCCATCTTTTTATTGCATACCTTGTATGTGGACGCAGGGTTCCATTGAACAAGCTGTTAGTTTCAAGCCTGATCACTGAAGAACACTGCTAAACGGCTAAACCACATTGGACAACTAAGCCAATTGAGCATCTCGTTCAACCCACACGCGCCACAGGCACGTTGCAATTGAGGGACAGATCACTGAATACCAAAAGCTGACCCGAACGAAAAGATAGGGAGATAAGTCTATAGGACATTCATTCATTGCCAGCATGTGGCAATCCCGGCATTCACATGTGCTCTCATGACAACTTCTTTACAAAGTGACCTGAACTGAGAAATAGTTGTGTTCAAAAAGTATGCAAATGCGCAATCACTCACAGGTGTTCTACCGAACAAATCTGCGACCATTCCTGGTTAGTCGGTCAGAGCACAAAATGTACACCTCTCAAATGTCTGAGAACATTTGCGGCAGTCTTATAGTGCTCATGATGCTTACATACCACAGTTGCATTTCCATCATCAACTTGTTGACAATTGCATGTTTTCCATGCAGCCATAGTTCATGAATCCAAAAGATACTGTTCCCGTGTAGGCGGTACCATGCGGCAAAAAGGATTGGACCGGAATACTGATTGCAATGATGGAACTGCTGAAGTAGAGGCTTCAGTGTGGTCTAAACCATAGCTGAGTGAGTACTATTGTATAAGCCACAGGAGCATTGTAGTTCATCACCTGCACGACAACCCTCTCTCCCTCTCTCAAGCTGAACATGCTAAACATGCACAAGGCTTTATGGTGTGGCAGTTTAAACCCCAAAAAAAGCATGTCCACAAAAAAGAATCATGTCAGCTGTCCCAACACACTTGCGCCACCCAACAGTGGCACGCCAACAAGTCCACCACAAACATGCTATGACACTATCAAATGCGTGAACTGCACCTCTGCGCCAATGAGGCTATGTTGCATTGAACTCATCAATGCGAGCGCTACATGCCACAACGGCGCCTGAAAGCACTCTTCGGCATGTGGCGCATCCTTTTCTTAAAGGCAAGATATATGCATAGTACAGTGAGTTGTGCAGGTGTGTTGTGCGAATGCAACTTAGAATCAAAACAGGCTACCACTGAGGCCGAGCTGCCAAGCAAGTGGCACATGCAGTAATTCCGCTGCCACAGCCCATGACGTCCAAGCGCAATCCTTGCCTCCAATGAAAAGCTCTCTTGGATTCTGCCAGTGCAAAATTGATATGCTGCGATCTTCAGGGTGCTCTGGTGTCAATCAAACCATCCATTTCAAGTGCCGCTCAATTTGTCTTGGAAGTAATATAGAACAACATCGGTGAACGCCCCTTAAAGATCTGTCTATGTCAAAAAATGAAAGTCAGACTTCAATCCTTGATGAGTCTGGCCCACAAATACTTATTGTGACTGCATACTTCAAGGAAAAACAATATTGAGCAAATGAAGCAAGAAAACCAAAGCTGTCAATCCCAGGCATGAGTCCACCTTCGTTGAGCAAGTAAATGCACGACTTGCAACCAGCAACCAGCATCCGCCATGTGGCTGGAAACTGTGTTGTACGACACCTCAGCAGTTCTCTGGTCAGGCCTAGTGGCCTAAGTAGCCAAAAAGAAAAGTGGTGTGGTTTCAAGATCGTATGGGCGGCGTTATTCAAAGAAAGCCCTTCTCCGGCCCAAGTTTGACAGCAAACAAAGAAAGGCAAAGGCACCTGGTTTGGCGGCAAGTTCTTGGCTGCCTGTCCTCGCAAGAAGACAGTTTCAACAAACACAACCAGCAACGTTGCTGCATGGACGACCAAACTCCTCTCTTTGCTAACTCTTGAAACACAAACCCTGTCCTTGCAGTTGCCGCATTGCAATGGGCCACGAGCTTTGCGCGAGGGCCGCGTTGCCACAGCGTCTTGAGACTTGAAGACCTCTTGCCTGGGACCCAGATCTAAATAGAAACAAGTGCCACGCTACTAGTAACAAGTGCATCGCTACTAGTAACAAGGGCCTTACTAGTAGTAACAATGTTTGCTACTAGAAACAAGTGCGAAATTGGAACTTTACCCTATCAGGTCCTATCACTTTCCACAAATTGAATCGGAAGCCTCCAATCTGTTCAGCATCTCATCTACAACTCCTGATGCCTGCCAAGCAAGTCAATGAAATGAACCTGCCAAGCAGGTCCTCAGAGATCAAGCAAACAAGCCTGTCGCGCCTTTGGCGCAAAGCCAGCCAACTGACATGCAATTGTGACGGCCACAGAGTTGAGCGTTCCACGGCGCTGCAGAAACACCTTGAAACTTGGAAGTGCACGGAATCCTGGGTCTAAACGGAGGAACTGCTGTCAAAAAGGCTTCCTCGCATTTGTCACCTTGCTATTGGTGCGAGGTGCCAGACACTCCAGGCCTCTCTCCCACTGCACAGAAGATGCTAGCACCTGCACAGAAAAAAAAAAGGAGTCCAAGCTCCTGAAAATAAGTCTCTTCACAACCATTTGCACAATTAGATTTTGGGGGCTCGTTGGTCCTCCCAATACTTAATTCAGTAAATAGGCGCCTACTGAAAATGTTCCCTACTAGGCTAAGCTAGCTTCTAGGTAGGACGCAGGATAGCTCACGCTTCTTCAAGGAAAGCGCTCGCCCTAATCATTTGGTTTCTAGATTTTTAGGGACTTGAGAGCAATCAAGTCCCTCTGTGGTGGGATTGTCAGCCACAAACAAATGTTGTTTTCTGTATGTCGTCATTCTTCTGAGTAATTTTGCATACATACTTCAGGCTGGTTCGAAATGTGGTGATGTTTAAGTTTTAAAGGTTCAAACTCGACACAACCCTACTAGCACCTTCAAGGCACTCCCAGAAGTCACTGCCGTTCCATCTAGGTTCCTGAGATGTTGAAGAACAGCGGGCCAATCATCCTCACTGGCACCTGGGACGAAGGGAGTAAGACGTGTTGAAGCTGTAGACTAAAGGGTAGACTCATTCCTATCTTCTACTTCATTGTCAGGCACTCATCGCAGAATTCATCGTGACGATGTCTGGCTGCAATCCGTCATGCCACATACTCTTCAGCAACGTCCGGGTCACTTGCGCACGACGTCCCTGTCAAGCAAGCTCTAGTAGCCACACAAGTTTTAATGCAAAAACGACCACAGTCTTCAAATAAAGTGTTCACAGCCTGGCATGTATGTAGGATTGTGTTGTAGGTCACCACCTGGCTACATTGCGTGTAGGCCTTTGCTTCCGTTTCTCCGGAGTAATTGTCAAATGGCAACATGTGCGATGCATTTGCTGATGTTACATGCACAATGCTGAATGGCGCTTGAGGTCCCCACATTGGGACCCAAACCTCGGATAGCACAGAGCTCAGGCAGTCATAGCTCACAAGGCAGTGTCTCTGGCTTCCCAGGTATCAAAGTCTTAGTTTGTATGTACAAGTATGCAAGGAACAACTTGGAGAACCATTCGCCAAACCAGAAGTTGTGCCACAGCGTCGAGTCTCGCGCATACGTGGGAGCACCAGAAGCGCCCGGCACCAGGGCTGAAGCACAGCTGCTGCATTGTAGGAGATGTGGTCAAGGATGATGCCCATGCTTTGAATCCTGGATTCCGGTGCTAGCAAGAGCCGGAAGTTAAAATCAGACTGAGGAGGCTGATACGTCCAAACAAATTGAAGCGTTAGAAAGAAAGGAGAATTGCAGTGTTTGCACAGCTCCGCTCTGTCTGTGTCCTGAGGAGTAGCAAATCCGCCAGCAACCAGCTATGCATAGATGAGATGCATGAGTTCCTTCGGAGCTACGCCAGATTCCAAAGAGTGCCTTCTGATTCTCACTTTCAAAAATAGCTGTCTCTGAAGCGTGCAGCTCAAAGTGCAGATCAAGAGTCCAACATATGATGTTTGGGACAACAAGTTCTTGTCTCTCCACCAAGAATTGCAGGGCACTTTGCCACCTTGATCCTGAGCATCGATACCCTCAACCCAGGCACTGGTTATTTTATTTGTGTCCAGGGGCCATCAAGTGCTGTAATGTCTGGGTGCACTGTGTAGACATTTCATAGTCACCCTTGTGCGGGGCACTCTCTCACATGCTTCTGTTGATGCTTCCGAGATGTGAGGAGTCACAAATGCTCAAGCAAGTTGCCAGGTTCAGCTTGTGCCAAAGCAGAAATGCAAGAGCCGATGGTGATCTGGTTTGGCTTGAGATTCCTGGAGACAGGATCTGAAATCAACGGACCTGAAAATAGGGTTTCAAATTTCAGGGGTTTACCCATCAAATTCACTGCAGTGGCTGTCACCATGGAGAATTCAGCAAAAAGAACAAGCAAGAGAACGACTAGAACGACCTCCTTACCTTTTGTGGGTTGCTTTTCGAAGCTGTCCTCCTTCCTATGGCCGAGAACTGAAACACCGCCTCTTGCCATCGTGCTTGTCGTGCCAAACCGCCAAGTGCTGAATTGGCGACGATGACATTGAGCTGCAAGCGCAGAGCCTGCTGGGACGGTGACATGGGACCGCCACTTGCATGCTGCTTCGGAATCTGAAGTCTGTCTGTCGCGCCGTGTTCTCTGGAAATCACCCTGTGAGCTAACATCACATTCGCTACTGGCCATAGGGCATGAAAGTCGCCAATTGCCCCTATTCCAGGTTACTTTGTTTTCTTGAGTCGCAAAACTGCACTGCGCAAGTCCCCACCTC